AAGCTCGCGCGAGCAGCGGAGCGTGCCTTCGTCTGCTTCTGTTGAACAACTACCAATTAAGATTAATTTTATCTGTAATTTACCCGACATAAGTAACAAGTGAGTGAATAGTGAGTTACACGATCAAATAATACAAGTGTACAATGGAAATAACAATAAGACCAATGAGGACAAAGAGTAATGAGGCAAGTCATGCACAAAAGCAGAACATCCCAAGGGGATCTGATGTTGGTCGCCAGGGCTTCGCCCTCGAGGCTGACGCGGGATGGTAGAAGCCGCTCGCCGGTTGAGTAACACGTCGACTCCTCGTTGTCGTCCTCTTGCTCCGCGCTCCGCCCTGAAATTCCTTCATGAGTCATCAGGGAACATCAACATATGATCGCCGCGCTGGTACAGCGACAGCGCGGCTTACATCACTACCATCCTTTTTATACTCTCTCTCTAATAATCAGTCTACTATTTCCCTCACTTCTTCATTCTTCACCTCCTCACGTTACCACACCCCTCTACAGAATAGATTCTTTATATCTATTCGAAGATGTTGGGGGTACCTTTCCCAGGGAGAGCCTCGTTTTCTATTGGGCCCATGCCGCTCAATGATATCGCGCACAGTAAATAAGACCCTAGCGTAAACGTCATCAGTGAAACAGTAATGACGAAACCCAGAGAACCAACCAATTCTATCAAATTTAGATTTGATCAGTAGTACACTAGCTTTAGGTTCTTTCCAACTAGTGTCACAATTACTGTCCTTATCACTGATTGAAATATCGATCCGAAACTTGACCATATGGTGATCTGGGGTATCAAGTGGAGGTATTATAGTGACACCAGCAAAGGTTCGAGGAGGTGAGGATAACATCAAGAATCGAAGCCCCGCACGTGGGTTGAGAAACATTATGTATTAGATTCCGTTGAGAATACAGGGAGACGAATTGGCAGAAGTTTTGTCTGTGGGCTGAGGGTGCGTCGCGATTGGACCAGTCGATACCAAGGTTGCGATCTTCGATTAAAACAATATTAACCCTTTCACGACCACGACACCCGCCGATTGGTGCCACTAGGACTGGCGCATGAGACCATGGCACCCAATGTTGGGTGCCACCACGTTTTTTCTTTTATTTGCACATTTGGAATTCATTTAATATTTTCATATTTATTAACAAACTCCATGGTACTTATAAACAACATGATCCACGTGAGTGTTTTATAGGAGCTTATTTATGACAAACATATATAGTCAATGGGGTAGTACTGTAAAGGTTTAGATAGTTCGGCAAGATTTGTGTGTGTGTCCTGGAATCATAGGGAAGCAGTATCTAGAACACCAATTTGCGTTTATGCGACCGCGCGTCGATCTCTTCATGCTCAAGTTCCTTGGATGTTGAATTCCTACTGCCTAAATTATCACCAAAATTCTAATCTTCATTGCTTTCAAACCCAGTTGCAATTCTAAGCCTCAGTTTTATATAGGATAAAATAAGATCTGATGCTTCTGTTATGCGAAAATATTGCTAAACTCATTGGGCCAGAAAAAGAAGTTCCTTTCGCGGCCACAGCACCCACCGGTGGGTGCCAAAGCAGGCGGCGTGGTCTCATGTCGAAATCGGCATTGTAGTCAAATTTTTAAAACACAAATCAGAATGAGACTGCACAACCTTTCGTCATCATGCGCATCATCGATCGTGCGCTCGTTGATCAGAGGGTCGATGAATCAATATAAAGCGAGCGTACTCAAGTGAGCTGGAAAGCATTTCAAAACAGAACATCCGCAGGATGGTAGGAGGGCCAAAAAGAATAGCTTCAAAGTAAATGTGTTACTGCAGTGCGACATAAAGCCCACCATCTCGTTTGCTCTCGTTTGTTCTTTCTACAAAGGTGAGGGATGGGTCAACAAGTGGAATGAAGGAAACTCATCGGCAGTGGGCGGAGCGTTCTCGCAGTGGACCACACCTACCACATAAGATCATAACTCGTTTCAGAGGTAGCATGGAGGCCAGAAAAAAATAAACGAAGTGCAAGGCCTTATGCATGCCGAGCATACGTAAACATGTCAAAGCTCCGCCCACGGTGGGTGGGGCGGCATGCATTTAAACGTTAGGTTCTTTTTGAGAAAACTCATAACTGTTCACAAACGTTCCACAACGTGGAAAGTAAGTGTTAGAGGCTACAGAGTGTGGTGTCTTCGGCGGAAGAGTGGCGCCTTTTTTATACGTTTATGGAGATGTTGGTCTCTCTGATAAACGAGCAAATAATGCGGACAGTGGTGGGAGATTTATTCGAACAGCACAAAACACCCTGATCGCGGGTGGTGTACAAGATGAGTGGGTAGAGGAGGAAATGGGGTACTTAAGTTTCTGGCCCATGCCAGAACATAGAGGAGATTTTGTCGAATCCCTTAAGTGGGCGTGGTTTGGACCAAAGTGGGCGGGACGAAGACCAAGAATTCATATCTCCGTTCGAAAATGTAGAACGCGGGAAAAGAGTGGTAGGAGGTAATAGCAGAAATACGACTAAATCTCAGGAGTGTGCGGAGCGTGCACTAAGGTGGGCGAGGCTAGGAGCAAAAATTCATACTTCTGTTCAGAAATGTTCTAGATGTTGTTCTGTTCTATTTGGTTGACCGGAAAGTTTCCCGCGACGTGTTTGATCGCACCATATTGGCCTTGCATGTATGCTTATGACTTATCGTGGGGTGTGCATGAAACACGCAAGAGACTCTTCCACATCACTACCTCACACTTACCCAGCTTGCAGTTGGATTCCAAAATGCCGCCCAAGTTTCGACCCAACAGGATGCACCTGAGGCACTGTCTTCTTTTCCTTCATCAGTCTGGCTTAGACGCATTGGAAGCCCAAGCCAAGATAGTGGATACATATGGCGCTGACGCTATCTTTTACGACACGTGCAAGAGCTGGATGGCCAAGTTCAAGAAAGGAGATTTTTCTCTCCAAGTTGCTCCAAGGTTCGGCCGGCCGGTGGAGTTAGACTTGGAGTTGCTGCAATCCACAATGGGAGAGGATCCGTACGCCACTATCAGGGAACTTGCAGCGATGCTTGGCCATGCCCAGTCAACTGTTAAATCTGGGCTGGAGAAGAATGGTAAAGTCGCAAAGCTTGGCCGTTGGATTCCTCACCAACTCACTGACTACGACATCATGAAGAGGGTCAACACTTGACAGCAATCGACAGTTTTCTCAAGTCCTAGCCCCCGTCCTTCTGGGATCAAGGAATCGACAAGCTGCGAAAACGTTGGCGACAAGTTGTAGACTCTGACGGTGCATACCTCTGATTTCCAAGTTAGGTCGGTTAGGTTTTTAAAATATTTTTGAAAATTCAATGGCGGGAAACTTTTCGGTCAACCTAATGGATTTATAACTATGATTAAAAACGTTCTAGAGCGCGGAGAAAAGGGTTAGGGTCAGCTAAAAGAGGTCTGGCCGAATTTCCATAGTGCGATCCGCACTGAGGTGGGGGTGCAATGTTCGACCGTTAATAATTCTGCGCGAAAGAAATATATCGAGCATAATGCTCTCAAAGCTGCTCAGCGCTCGAATTTAAGGAGAACTATCTTGTTTTGATAATTCAGAACTGGGTTGAATGACTCCATCGTGGATGAGCCGTCATGGACTAATGCAAGCGTTAGCGTGCATAGCCCAACTGTTAAGACAAAATATTATAGCAGTGACCAGTCCGGATAATGTGATGCGCGTCCTAGCGTCCCATTGTGCAATGAGCAAGTTTGTCAATGAAAATGTGAAAAGTGAATGTAACAGCCAACTGTAACGACACTGTGTGACTAGAGGACTTTAACGTGATTTCGCAGTTTTACACTCATATATCGCAGGTTTTAGGAAGAAGTCAGAAAACGCATTGTAGCTGTTCGATTTTAGTGGTGATAATTCATGTTTGCAATTTACTATTCCAGATTGAGCGATCTTCTCTTCGTTCTTGGTCGCTACGCTTGTATGAAGACGGGACACGATGAACTTACGTACTTGAGGCCAGATACCTTTGTCAATCAAAGATGGGAGCGGAAAAAGCTCTGAGATTCCGAAGATTAATCTTAGTTACTTTCTGATGGCCTTACTACTTATTATAAAGACTTAGAGGTTGCTTGTTCCATCGTTCTTAGTGGATTTCACACCCTCGAATGCTTCTTGTTTATGAAACTGATGGTGTGTCGATACGATAGTCCACACGATATTACTGCCTATGTTCAAAGATTATTCATTGTTTATCACCTCTCAACTCAGAATCCTCCCCTTGGAAAGTTTTGTGTTATGGACGAGATCCGCTATGATCGTCAGCTACGTCTTTGGGGAGAAGAAGGACAAAATTCGATTGCTCAAACTTCAGTGTGCGTACTAGGCTCTTCAGCTTTAGGTTCGAGATGCGTGTATCAGTTTCTAGTCATCAATTCGCAACGCTTTTTATTCTAGGAACGGAGATTCTTAAGAGTCTGGTGCTTGCTGGGGTGCATTCAGTATGCATAGTGGACAGTGCATTCGTGGACACACCTGATCTCGGCCAGAATTTTTTTCTTCGTAAATCCGACATCGGACGGCCGAGAGCGGATGCCACAATTGAGTATTTGAAGGTAAAGTGAATATTTTATCGCATATCCTTTCAATTCTTTAAGTAAGTACGCCACTGGAAAGAGATAATCTTGTTACTAGAAAAGCGATGTTTGCCCTGAAGAAGGGTGGCTGCTTTCATAGTCCGCCGGCCGGCAAGCGAGCGCGCGAGCGAGTCGGCGCGCCGGCTGACGTAAAACGAATTAGCTCGTATGTAAGAAATTCACGTTTGTTGCATTTTATTTCACGGTCGGAATCCGGCCGTTAAAAATCTAATAAAATGCAACAGACGTAGATTTCTTACACACGAACTAATTCGCTTTACGTCAGCCGGCGCGTTGGCCGGCCGACTGTGAAAGCAGCAGTTGGACTTCCAAGAGGCTGATCACGCTGCAGAAGCGGAAGCTTTGACTGTTTCTACTCGTCTACGCTCACTAAGATGGCATTCGATGGTGTCTGATTGAAGGTGGTTAAGCGTTTTTAGGGGAATTTAGGGTATTTATTCATGAGTTGTTGTTAGTTGCTAGGTTCGCGCGACTTGCAACAACTTCGCTCCGTCCTATGGTAAAATTGTGGTGATCAGCTGATCCACCATTTTCTTTTAAAATGAGTGATACACTTTTTGAGGGGACTGTAATATTGATGCAGGATTCAGAAGGAGAAATGGTGGCAGAAATAGCAATGTAACCGGTATTCAGTAGGTGCCTAGCTTGCGGTTACCCCAAGAAGTATTGATCTCTTGCTCTTCATCATGACAACATTAACCATTGAACTTGATCAATCGAAGCCTTGAATTGCATTTATAATGTAGAGTGGTTACAAGTGGCGCACTACATCCACACATGGTCCATGGATCTAATGCAGGATCGATATCCACGTAGGCCAACCAAGTATTCCATCATCGCAATCTGCCAATTGGAACTAGATTCGTCCGAGAGGACAGAAGCACTGAACTAAACATCGGCTGGCCATCGCAAGTCATGGTATCGGTCAAATACGCGTTCGGTGCGCTACTACGATTATGAATGGGAGAAAATTCCCAAAGACGAAATTAATTAACGCCAAAAACTCTATCCGGTAATCTTTTTAACCCTCTGATGACCATGCAGATTATGAATCGATGTGCCCTTGGGATCATGCCCCCTTCCTGTCGTGCGCGACAGGCACCCACCAATGGGTGCCGTTGTCTCGGAGAGAACCCTTGGCTTGCTAAATTTAGAAATATTCCCCTCTCATGGGAGCATCAAGATCTGCTTATATAGCTGGAGCTTAGAAATGAGGTACGGCTTGGAAGCAATGTAAGAACTGTAGGTGTAGTACTTTGAAAGTAATGTACGCAGTAGGAGTTTGCATAGTATTCATCGAGGATTGATTTTCCCATACTGAGGCTGAACGGGCGGTCATATGCTCGCAATTGTTGACCTCTACTATTGCACAATAATGTTTCCAAAAGGTACACAAATCTTACAAATATCTAAGTCTTCTCAGTTGACCCCATTGACTATATATGTTTGTAATAAATAAGCCTTAGAAAATATCCAAGAGGACCTAGTTGGATATGAATACAATAAATTTTTCTGATAACTATGGGATAGGTTTTGATCGGTGAGCCATTGGTGGGTGCCATTGTTGTCAAATGGTTATTGTTGTCGAGTGATGATAACACCATTGTGAGATGGTTATCCTTGGCCTCTTACCCTTACGGATACGAGTTACTAGCACTGACTCGCCTTGTATTACTGGAAGCGTGACGCGTCCATAGTCTCGGGATATTTGTTTGTAACCACTTGCTCGAGAGCTTGTCCTCTTTTTATTTTTTATCCTTCGCTGTTGTCGAAGGTGGTGTAGTGGCAAATGGCGTACTATCCCATTGCGCGGTCACGGGTCCGCATCTCAGATCAATATCTGCCTGGGCCAACCAAGCCTTGATTTCTCCGGGGTAGATTATTTAGTAATAGACTTGTTCTTGAGGACAGCACTGACTTGTACATCGGCTGGTCAACACAATTCACCGTATCGGCCATTTACGCATTCACTAGCCACTGCGATTCTGAATGGGAGTCGAGTGCGGAGCGCATTCTTTGGGCAGGATTAATTTACGCCACAAGGCTTTATTTTTATTTTATTTTATCCTTGACTTTTATTGGTATCTCATGTCGTCTTGATCTAAATCTCCTGAAGAAGCATATGCTTCGCCGCTCGAGTATCAGTTGTCGCTATAACGATGTCTACTCTTATTCGAAAGTCCGACCATTGTTTATATGGCCGGAAAAACAGCTATTCGATCTTCCTTTATGGTTCTTCCGGCTTAACTCTTAGTCCTCTATGCGTAACCACCTTTACCTGACTGACGCTCGATGCCTATTTTTTGAGATCTGTAGACATTCTCACAGTTAGATTGGACAGTCCCACGGAGCTACTCATCTTGTAAAGTTTGTCGCCATCAAATTGCTTATTATCGGTTAAGAGGGTTCAATAAGTGTTCGAATCGATTTCTTGACATTGCTTTCCCAGGAATCCATTGCCAACCAGGAATCTGCATTACTCCTATTTGTATGTATAAATCCGATAAATTGTTTGATTTCGGATATCAATCATAATAGGCAGAAATCTTTGCTCTCCGTTCTCTATTCGTTTCTTCGACAATCAATGGAAGCATTTCTTCGTTCGAATTTTCTTCTTAAAAATCAATTGGTTCGAGGCAGCTACGCAAATGTGGACTAGCTTGTCGAGTGAATCAAGAAGGGGTAGTTCACTTACAATGGGACTTTGAATAGAGACAAAAATAAATAGTTTTGAATGTTGGTTACGAGTATAGAAAATGAAACTACAAATGGGAATTCCTTTTACAGTAGTGTCAGCTGGAAATGTGAACTCGTCGCTTCGATATTAAGCATCGACGTGGCGTAGTAATACTGGTCTTCACATGTAGATTTTACGGATTGCTTCCCGACATCAAGATTTTGCGAAGGGTTCTTTTGTTTCGTTGTAAGCTTTCAAAAGCTTCTCTGAAATTTGTTCGAGTAAACGTCTTATTTCTGTTCTAGTAAACGTCTTACTCTGTTTTGGGTGAAAATGTACTGAGGGAGCCACCCATTCAAACGCTAGTATTTCAAGAAATGAACTCAATGAAACGCGTTACGCCATGTTATATCACGGACATGCCAGTTTTTAAATAAGGGTTTTCATGGGGAAGGAGCACCGCGGAGAGTAAGTTTTCCTTCTTTTTTTCTTTTTTTTTTGCAGGAGGTAATCATCCCAGCCACCCAGGTGCTCCTACCCTACCTAGGCTTATTTGGGATACTAAATTTCTCTAGCTGAAACCGCATAAGAGAGCTAAGGTGGTCGGTTCCCATCATCCTCTACGCATCCGATACAGTGCTTACATAACATGGACTAACATATTAGACTGAGTTCATTTCTTGATATACTGACCTTCGGATGGATGCCTCCCCCCCTAACTACATTTTCACCCTGTTTTGTTTTAAACTTCAAGAAACATTCAAAAAAAGATGCCGGAGATGTTTAAGATGCTTGTGAGGAACACAACATTGACGTAAAAACGTGAGAAGCGCACTTGTTGTTCACCGCTCTCTTTATAAATGTTGCTTCGCTACAACCGGAGACAAAACGTCAATTGTCTCAAGAATGAAAAAATACTCGCCAGGAGTGACACTGCAGGCTGGGTTTTGATCAACATACCCAGCCTAGTGCTAAAAGCATTTTGGGAAATTGAAAAAAAAGGTGAAACATTCGATGTGCAGAGTGTCCCAAAATCATGGGCGCCAAAATTCAGAAATTTCTAAGAAATGAAGAAGTAATCCATCAAATTCACTTTACTCTTTGTTAGTGAGTTGCACGAGTATATTTCCTAGCAAAATGCATGGCTGCTAAAGTGTAACTCCGAATGTCTTTGAGATGGCCGAGGCTCATTCAAAGCTCCTTGCAATAACTTAGTACCCTTAATCGGGCCTTACCACTGCACCTGTTTTCCGAATGAAACACATCAAGGAGTCAAAGTTAGATCGTAACCAACAAATGCCTCAAGGCTCAATTGGTAAAAGGGTCTTGCTCACCAAGGCCTCTTCCATTTTAGTGTTCCCATCTTGCCTCCTCTACTATTATCATTTTTGAACTTTCCATGTCCAATGGAACGGGGTTATGGATTTCTGCTCAAACATTTTTTCCGCATAACCCCAACCCCCGCCCGTGGGTGGAGCCCGGCCCTTCCACCTTCCATAATTGCTCCCATCCTGCCGCCTGCACTCCTAACACATTTGAACGTTCTAGGTACACGGGAACAGGAGTTATGGCGGTCGGACACACACGCACAAATCCAAGACATTAGGGCGTTATATGCAGTAGGATCCTACCAAATATAGCACACCAAGTAAGCCTGTTAGTTTGTCTCTGTGCGTGTTGTATGTATGTGTGTTTAAACAGATATCCATAATTCCTGGTTTATGTGAACTAGAAAGTTATGCTATTATTACAGGTGATAGGATGGGAACATTTGTGTCAGATTGTAGGACTAGTTTCTGCCGACGAGGGCAGAGCGTGAGCGAGGTTTAGGACGTTAAAATTTCGTAGGAGTGCAGCCAACAGCATGGGAATGCTGTTAGTAGGTGGCACGACTAGGGGGAAGCGTCAGCAAAAATGGTCAATTTGGATCTGGGGCGTTCAAATTTGGTAGGGGCACAGGCTCAGGATCAGAATATTAATGGTAGTTGGTAGAAAAATACAGAGTTGGATCAACTAGATCCCGTCCGCGGGAGCCATAGAGGGATGTAGGGGCGGAGCGTGCGTGAGCGTAATCTGAGTAAATTTGGGCAGTCAAGTCGAAGAAGGTGGTTTATGAATCGACTTACTTAAATTCACATGAGTTAAGCCGGGACCCACTTATGACTGGCGAGGCACGCACGAAGTGTGTTGTGTGTGTATGTGTGTTTGTGTTTGGTCGGAAGTCTATACCTGCTGTTCCCTTGTACGCGTCAAAGTTTGGAAGGGACGTGTATGACAGGTCAACGTAACACGAAAAATAGGATGCCCCCGTTTGCCGGGTCATCCTGCTTGTTGGTCATAAATCTGAAATCACGATTAGTTCACTGCGATTCATTCGAGTTCACAGGTCAATAAAATGAGGGAAGTCGAATGAAGCAGTGAACGAAAGAGCAGAACACAAAAAAGACAACCTACCTTCACATCCCACGTTTGCCTTTTCGTACCTGTCACGCGCGCGGAACCTGCGCAAAACGGCTCGATATTTTCTAATTCATATTTAATTTTCGATGCCGCCAAATTTTCTGCAAGTATCTTTGATAGACTGTGTGCAACTGTGCCCTATCCTGTCAAGATCTAGCTCGAGGACAGTTTTGAATACAGGTTTTTTCATCATAGTCGCCTACGAAGTCACACCTCTATAAGCATCTTTTGTGTGCTTACTTGATATGCACTTGAATGTTTCTGGGAATTTCAACAGACAACGAATTTGAAAGGGAGGACGCGTCATAGAATGAAAATCTATAGGCAAGGCTTTGGCAACGGACGGGATTCCGAATTGTACTACTGGGACTCCGCTTGCCCTTGCCTTCTTGATGCTCTTTTAGGCCACGCTTGATACGTGGTGAGCAACGCGATGAACCAGTCAGCCGATACTGACATATTAGGTTGAATCATAAGTCCTCGGATAAAGAGATGGTGATGACTTCTAGAAATAACTCGGGAAAGAAGTGACGAAAATGGGCGCGCGAGGCATCGTTAGATAGAGTATAAAAAGCTCTTCCAAATACATACTAACGAGTACACCTGACCATCTCCTGCGCTTGAGCGTGAGGAGATAATGTGCCATGTCGGCGCGAAAATCCATGTCATACTGCCTCAAAGCATGAGGCACCCATTGACCGAGCTTTCGCACCTTGCCGATTGACTTCAATCCACGAATAACTGTGGACTGACCCCCCAAGGGTGACTGCCAGTTCACGAGTAGTTTGATACAGATGGCTTTCACCTGGCTCCGCAGCACCTCCAGATCCAACTCCATCGAGCGTCCCGGACGGTCTCCATTTTCTATGGAATGGTCGTCCGACGTGAACTTCGTGTACCACTTGTGAATAGTGCTCTAGCAGAAGCACCTTTCTTGTAAGCTTCCCTTGACACGTCTATCGATCTCCGTGGGTTCTTGGCCAGATAAAAAAAGAAATAGGATGGTGTTGCGGAGGTAGAGTTGCGACGGCTTGAAATCATGGGGCATGGTTGCAGAAAAGGAAATATTTAGGTGTGTTCGTTAGTATGTATTTGGAAGAGCGTTTCATACTTTGTCTAACAATGCCACGCGCATCCATTTTCGTCTCCTCTTTCCCGAGTTGTGATTTCTAGAAGTCATTGCTACCATTTTGTCCAAGGACTTATGGCTCAACCTAATAGAACAGCTAAGAAGTGAGCTGTCCTTTCATAACTTCTTTTGATCTGTATGCGCGAGACTTCTTTATCACAAAATCCAAGCGGCAAAATAACAACAGTTGAGGAAATACTAAGTAATACTAAGTGAAAGCGATGATTAACATTTATAGTTTAGGCGACAGCTGTTTTGTGCTGAGGCTATCCTTCAAAAGCTGTATAGTAATTGAGCCTCAAAATCTTGCGAAATCCGTTGAAGACCAGCGCTAGCTGCTGGTTTTGTTTTCAGAATTTTGAGAGGCAGCTCTTTTCATCGACTGTATAATTTTTGTGTAGCAAAATGCAGCTTTTCAGGAGCTAAACCCATCAGTCATAGGACACTCTCTGCTTCTATCTCCACTCGACTTGTCAGACGAGGATTTGGCTGTCATGCTACAGTTTTTTGTCGTTGTCGGAACCAACCTACCTGAGGAGGTGGCGACAAAGATATCCTCTTTTTTGTTTGCACATGGTGTGCCTTTCATATCGGCTAGGTTAGAAATTCACGGCTGCTTTTCTGAAATAGTCTGACTCAACAGAATTTAATTTTTAAGGGCTTATGGGTTACTAGGCTATATTCGTACATACGTGCAAGAGCACACTATAGCCAATGATCATGAAGAAAATGCACTTCCAGATTTGCGGTGAGTTCGTTATGCTGCTCTTTCATTCACTCTTTCAGGAATTAATTTTAGTATTGATCAGCCTTTCCCAAAATTGCTGAAGATGGCAGCAGAAACAGATCTGGAGTCTATGACGAAAGAAGAGCTGCGGCATACTCCCTACATAGTGCTGTATTTGATAGCTTTACAACGTTACAGGGAAGTAAGTTGATTTTATTGTCAAGGTGGAATCGGAGGAGTGTTGATGAGTGAGATTGAGCGCAGGGCGTACGCAGATTTGATCTGATGAATACCCTTCATGAAAAGACTTCTTCAGGATAGTGCCTTTCACTAGCGCGGTTCGGCAAGGAAGATGTACTTGATTTTTGGCAAAGCTTTGCTGGCAAGCATATGCTCTTCACAGAAGATCCTTACGCAAAAACTCTTCTGTTGGGGCAGTACAGCATGCAGCCATATACTGTTGGTGTTGAGCTACGTGAAAGGATGTGTGACAGATGTGTGTGTATATAGGGTTCACTGTTCTCATCTTTCCATGCATGTCAGGGACAGAAAAGCTAAGTCTCGTTGCAGTGTCTGTTGAGAACCTCTACTAGAACAGCTGTAAAACGATACTTTTCCCAAAATCGCAATGAATCGTATAAGCAAAGCTAGGAATTTTTTTTTATTCTGACATTGAAGCCTCCTAGATTATGCAGCAGATACCATGCGTACATGTGTTCAATATCTTCCAGGAGGTCGGAGATGAAAGTGCTTTTCCTGATACATATGAAAAAAGGAAGTTTTACCTGGAAATCTTATGGAAAATGCGTGGAAAATCTTTGGAAGCCGACAATTTCAACGAAGCTAGAGCAGCCGCGGCGCGGTCATTGCACAAGACAGTGGTGAGGTTTTCTCATTAGATACGTACTTCCGAATAAAATTATGAATGTACAATCACTGTTTCAGATGCCTGACCACGTAATGGACATTTTGATGGATGCGAATTGTGACGACTCCTCCAAATGTGTCCAGCCATTCTGGCTGATCTGCATGGGACTTCGACGTTTTGTCAATAAACATGGTGTTCTTCCACTCTCAGGTACACTTCCTGATATGGCAAGCGATACGAAAAGGTATGCTATTCAGTGTTACTAAAACTTGAACGTTCCCACACACATTGTAGGTACACACAAATCGCATCAATTTTTCGTGAGAAGGCAGTTTCCGATGCTGCTGAAGTATTTAATTACACCCAGGAAGTTGAGAAGGAGAGAGGTTCGTTAAGTCACCTCTTTCTTACTGTCGAGTACCTGTCTGGGAGCTAGTAATGTAGGAGCAATGCTCCAAAGTGCATATCTTCCCCGACATCGACACGAGTTTTGTCGCGCGACTTTCATTTTTCGCTCCCAATGCATTGACGTCTCGATTTTTCGAAAAAAGCTTTTGTCTTACCAGGGAGGGGTAGTCTATATATCTTGGAACTATAGACAACTATAGAAATATCTTGGAAGATGAATCGATAGAGTTTTGAATGCTGTTTACGAAAATGGAAATCAAAAATGCAAAATCGTTCTCTTGAAAAAGTTATGGGGGCCCGAATTTTGCTCGAGAGTAGGATCAATTGGATACGCTTCGATATCAAGTGTCCACGTGGCCTTGTGGTAGTGGTCCCGCTTCATGGACGTTTGCATTCGCATGAAGGTTTGCTTCCCGCCATTGACCGCATTTTTGCGAAGTGTTTTTTAATTTCATCAAAGGCTCTCTAAACGTTTTCTGACATTTGTTTAGTGTTCGCCTCATTTCTGCTTTTATTTTCTCTCGCCGCCCCTACTCAAGGAAAGTGATTCTGCACGTCAATAGTATGATTCTGTTTATTTTAAAATTCAAGGAACATTCAACAGAAAGTTACCAGAGATGTATCAGTGTGTAAGATGCCTGCAAGAAGCTCAGCATTGATGGACAAACTTCAAAAAATGCGTGAAGCACACATGTTCCTAACAAACTGCGCGCCTTATGCGTGCTGATTCTCGACTTCCGGTGACAAAACAGTCAATCGTCTCGAGGCTAAACAAATGCTCGGCCGATGTGACGCAGAAACCTAGATATTCATCAATATACCCATCCTTGTAGCAAGAGCATTTTAAAAAATTAGAAAAACGTGGAGCACCAAACATTCGATATACTTGCGATAGAAACTTAAGTATATTATCACTCTGTGTCATGTTATGGTCCGTACTGTCTATACTACTGTCGAGCAAAATTCGGGTTCCCATAACTTTTTAAGGAGGACCATTTTGCAGTTTTAATTTTCGTTTTCGTAAACAGCATTCAAAACACTATCGATTCATCTGGGTCTCCATGCAAAGTTCCAAGATAAGTAGACGACCCCTCCTTGGTTAGAAGAGGTTCATCTCACAGTGACTTTCCAGTGATAAAGGTCGGAACACAAACGGTTTTTGGACGATGATCTTTGATGTCCTCAACAAATTTGCAAAGCTACTCACTTGTGAAATTGCTTTTTCCACTTTTATAACTTGGCAACGAAAGAGTGGGGGTATCTGTCAGGTCGACGACCGAAGGGCGTAACTCTATGGATAATGTGTTGCTCTTACAGTACTTCCGACTAGTGTCTTATGTTGTCCAATGTGAGCAAGTCGTGCTTATTGAAAAAATGGTAATGTCTTTGGTCTTCGATGTCTTAGATCTTATAATCACATATGCCTTGTCTTTGCAAGCCAAATTTGATGCCATATCAAAATCAAAGAAGCTAATAGAATAAGTCGACGGTTTAGATGAAGTTGAATACTGAAACTAGAATAAAATTTACCTAGTTGATCGAACGTTAGTTGATCGTCTTGAAAACACATCTTTTCGTCAGGCGTCGCTAATATGATCTCGGAAGATCTCTGCTATCGTTTCTGCAAGAATGCCACTAGGATACGATTGCAGCGCGGAACAGAGAAGGACTCTCCGAAAGCGTTTCAGGTGCAGATCGAGTTGAGAATTTTGTTAAATATCAGCAGAAATATCGTTAAAGGGTGTTGCCCAAAGAAGCGCTCCATAGCATTTCAGGAAGCTAGTGCTAGACTGACGTATCCAGTGTATTTCACCACAAAACAGCAATATAGGTTAAAGCAATAAGGGAGAGGTGGTGGGGTGACGGAACTTCTCACCGAATTCCCGCGGCCTGCGGCAGTGGTCGGTCACGCGGCGAATCCTCCATTCACCCGATCGCATGCGGCGAGCACGACACGCCGTTCGAGGAGAATATAAAAGAATCCGAGGTGGTGTAATGGCAAGTGGCGCACTTCCCTCACGCATGGTCACGGGTTTGGATCCCAGATCAATATCCGCCTGGGTCAACCATGCCTTCCTTTTTTACGGGTATCGTTTAAATGATACCAGCTCGTCTAAGAGAATAAAAGCACTAGCTTGAACATCGTCTGGTCTCGCAAGTCATTGTATAGTCCACATACGCATTCGATATGCCACTACGATTCTGAATGGAAGTCGAATGCGTGGGCGCAACCCTCAAAGGGATAGATTGACATCCCAAAGCTTTAATCTTTGAAACAATAGCAACATCGCTCGAGTGTTGTCGTCCAGAAATGTCCTCGCCCTTGGCTGAGAAAAGCCTATTGAATGATTCTTTTTTTGGGTGTTTGGGGTATGTTTTTGGGTGACGGGTGGTGGCCTGACTGCTCTATGGGCCTGTCGGTGCATATCGAAATACTTTTTTTGTATTCATAGAGCGAGAAAAACTGCTAGTAATACCTTTTCAATGTCCCTAAAATATGAGAGAGCTTTGTAGATGACTAGTACTGAACCTAGAAACGTTTTGCAAGCGTTTACGACTCATTTCATGGAAAAGCAAAATTAGGATCCACCATTCCTCCAGCTGCGCTACCAATCCACAGTTACAGCTTTGCTCGGTTCGGTAATCTGTTCGGTACAGTGTTGTAACGCAAGGAAGAATTAGTCCTGTCGGCTTGTTTCCAGACCGTTTAGCAGATTTGGAACACCTCGTCTTGAATGGCCACTACGACAAAGTATCCTTCCCTTGTGGGTAGGGACGAGATGGAATATGGCGTTGGCTTATGCGAAACTGGCGGTATTCTGGTACTCTAATGGCGTTGGCGATCATCTAATTTTGGAAAAAATGGTTGAACGTAAGGACCTCATGGAATTTGAACCACTATGGAACGGAGTTGAAGTTCACAATCGCTCTGATTCATATAATGCCGAGGTCGTCCTCACCTGATACGTACCGGATCGCACCTAGAGGTGACCCCGATTGGCCAACACCGGGAAAGCTGCCTCAAAGCTCCGTATATTTCTCATGATAAACAACTTTTGGAAGATGCAGGCGGTTATTTGCAGATGTAGTTCTCCTGAATACAGGTCTTCTGCAGGCGTGGACCCCAAGCTGAATCGTGTTCGGACGCGAGAGGATGGTGAATTTGGTGGAAACGTTCACCTGAGGGCGAGGAGTTGTGCGTTGATGTACACATCCAGTCACTTTTGCACATATCTTGTGCGAAAAAAGCAGCGTTGGTACTGGAGCTTGCGCTGACGTCTGGAGCAGTTCTCCAAAGTTTGCATAAGTAACATGTTGGTTTTCGGGCAGTCTCTTCCGGTGTGGCTTGTGACAGATTCGGAACTGTGATGGAGGGAGCAAAATTTGCCTTTAGATGCCAGTCGACGCCTCTATTTCTTCTGGATGTAAGGGGCAAACCGGGTATAAAGCGGGTCTTTGTTTTCTCGTCCAACCCTTCTAGTTGAGCGTTAGGATGTTCTTGTGTCGATTGAACTATCTGCTGAAGTAGTCATGGTCCGGGCCGTAGGAGAACGCCTCGATGGGAAAACTCTGCTTCTCGATATCTGACCGGGGATGAAGTTTGCGGCGCAGCGGTGGAAGAAGACGTGTTTTAGACCTGGTCAATGAGGAGCTACTGCTGAGCAGCCATGAGTCGTAGGCGGTCCCTATCGGGCGTGTCCTGTACTGAAGATCTGGGGAAGGTTCATGACTCACAGAAAGTGGTATTCTGGTGGCGTATACTCGACGTTGTTGCCCTGATCGCCAAGTGTTGCCTACTTGGAATGGGCAACAATGCATTGTCTCTCAGGCGATATATAAAATGACTGAATGTACAAGGAATGTGGTTTCTGTACCATTCTATATGATCAATAGGTAAACATCACAAATCAAACACAATGACTAAAGATCACATTGATGTTTCGACAAAGTGATATCGAATTGTATCTATTTTCAAGGATTTACTGAATGGTATTGCAAATTCATCAGAAGATGGAAGCGGTGTGCCTACTGCAGTTTGGTTCTTGCTTCTGAAGGCTGCCGACAAATTTCATAGGGAAAAAGGAAGGTCAGTTATTTCGCATTTGTTGATGAGACTTGGTACTATACATTATCTACTATACATTATCTTTCAGGTATCCGGGAACAAACGGGGTTCCGTGTACGATTGATGCGCTTGATCTCAAACAACGAGTTGTGTCCATTATTTCTGCATCGCGAGTACGTCGTAGGGACTGTTAATGTCATCCTGTTATTATTTCCGACCACACTAGCCAGCATTCAGTGTTCGCGGTCCACAATCGCGATCATGACCATTATGGCTATCATGCACACTGTAAATTCGAGTAGCTGTCAATCGTTGCAGGCTAAGGATTGACAACTTTTCTCATTTTCACTTGTTCTTACGTCTTTAAAATTTTCCAACAATGGAAATGAGAGAGAAATACAAGACAGGATTTATGGCCATGTCATAAGTGCTTTTCGACCATCAACTTACTGCCATACTGTATTCAAATCCAATTCTTCTCAAGGAGTACTTCGATGAGCTACGATTTTTCAAAGTGATATCTGCCATTGGATTAGACCAGAGAGGAAAAAAGGTCGTTTGAACCGGTAATCCCTCCGAGAACGAGATTGCGTTCAAAAATATAGGCGATTTTAAGACGTGAATCTCGTGCGCGGCTTCTGACCCATCGCCAAAAGTAGTAGGCACTATTTGGCTGCTATAGCTTCTTGTTCCGTTCATGGTGTCATGAGATTGACTCCCTTAGGAGTTTGATTTTTTCCCAAGCTTTTCACTCTTATAGACACCTCCAGCATTCGAGATTGATAAAATTGTATCTCCTTGGTTTGGAATTCGAAAGTACAGAGTATGGTTTTGCTCTACATCACTTGCGCTTTAACTTTCGTTGAAGTGATTGACGAGAATTTGCAATCGACAAATAAGCACTCACAGAGAAGGTAGTCTAGTGACGTGCGACAATCATATGCCTATTGAGACTTTTCGTCCACTCTCACGGTCCAGCATGACCATTTTTTTGAAGTTTATAAGAGATATTTATAAGTTTTCGGAATGTCCCTTCGAATGGGTTTGAAAAGAATGCCCACACTGAGTGATTATTGATCTTTTTTATAGAACCGTCACTCAGTCTAGTGGTCATTCAATTATGACTTCAATCCCTACCAGAAATCGTTTTGGGGGAACTTTTACGAGCTCTGCATTGGGTCGATGGCAGACAAAACGCTAATGACGATCGTCTTTTTGAAAAATCTCATTCTTTGAAGTTGTTCAACGAACGAAAAATTCACCAAGTTAATGTACTCCTTCGAAAAAACACCGTTAGAATCGCAAGATTAGAAGATTTTCCAGGGTCACGCTTTATGTGACTTCATCTGGACCTGATGTAAAGCTTTGAAAAGAAAAATGGTAAAAAAATGGAAATATAGATGAATAAAACAAAAAATACAACTGCAGTCCTTATGTGGACTGCATGGTCGTCAATGGGTTAATAGATTGATGCACAAGTATTGCGGATTTTTGTTCAGCAAATTTTACGTAAAGAAGCGATGGAAATACATGTTCAAATAATTACTTCCGAACATATCCACCATGTACGTCAAGCGCTGCTTCACATTTGCCAGGCAGTTTCCACAGGCGAAAGAGTTTCGTTCCTTGGAGGCGATCCACGTCTTGACGTCGGCTACCATCCATTTCGTCAAAAAAAATCTGTTCGTTAGCCAAATTTCAACAGACGATTGACGTGGTAATCCATAGGAGTTTCTGTTGGTGTCTAGCGCGACCGTAGAAGATTCTAGATTCCATTCTTTATTCGGCTTTGGCTGACTGTTCCATCGCCGTAAAGCTCGTTGAGATCACTTTATGACTGTGCCAACTTCCAACATTTCTCGAAGTAATAAAGCATAATGTGGCGTAAATGAGGATGACTTCTTAGACATAAGATTATTTCTACTAAATACAGAATTCACTATTCGAATTGTATCGAGAAAAAAGTAGTCTTGAAAAAATACGCAATATTTATGCATCGACCTATTATTTGCCCCCTGGCGGCATCTTCTACAACACTACAAATTAATCAATGCAAGAAGGACAGCAATGAAATCTATTTCGCCTATTCATACACGTACTTGACCCGCTGGATGGCAATCTTCAATTAAAACCGCTCGATAAGATGAGAAGTCTTCACCTCAAGTCTCTCACCATGTGATGTACTGTACTGTCCGACTTGAAGTAATAAATTCTGTTATACAATTATACTAAAGCTGAATGGTGATTTACTAATTACTCACGATAGCCATAAATATTCTCCAACCTAAGGCAACCTAAAGGATAAGCTGTGAAAAGTTGGCTTCTACGCAATGTTCAGTCAAATCGATTAACCGCAACGAAAAACTCTTATGCGTTATTAATATTTTTCAGCTTTTAGAATCGAGATTCTGAATTGCGAGCATCGAATGCTGTCTTTTGTTGTTCAGGTGGAAAATCCGGAATCGATAATCTCGCAAGTACCGCAGAACGCTATAGCCGAAATTTGCCGATTTGGCGCTGGGGAACTTCATGTTGTAGCCAGTCTCATAGGAGGTAAGGTGTCAGACATTAGAGTTGAATGTACGTTTATTCCTTTTCCCCATATCTGTTTGTAGCTGCTGTGAAAAAAAATTACGCGTGTGCCATCTCAGGTCGATTTAGGAATTTTTTTGTATAAAAAGGAGCATAGATAGCAATCATCGCGCATAGTTGGTGGTTATTGTGAGCAGCGCTGATTACATAGGTGTAGCAACGGTTCGGGTTACATTCACAGTTTCGATTCTCTTTTTACTAGAATTTTTTTATGCCGCAATGCTCACCTTTTCGCGTGAGCACGTGGAATACGGGGCTTCTGGAGAACACACAGGAAGGTGGGCAAGGAGTTCTGAAGCGAACACGATCGACTTGTTACACAATCTTACCCTCAATGGTTTCGAAGCAGATTTTTCAATCTCTAAATTAGTTTTTATCGTGGTGTTCTGTTAGTGTTCTTGCCACTTAGACTATGAGATTTCTGAAAGATTTTGCGGTTCTCCCTCTTGATCACCTGCGCTGATGGTGGCCATCAGGAGAGAAAAGTGCTCTTCATGCACACGATTATTGGAGTTCACTTTTATGAGCACTATTTGGCTAGAGTTGTTCGTATGCATATTGATTGTGATATGCGTAAAGCTGAGTCAAGACATGCGTGAAAGTCAATTCAGGTATTACCGCCCAAGAAGTCATCAAATTAGCAACGAATCAATATGTACCACTGGACAACACGTTCATCTTTGATGGGCATACTCAGCGAAGCATGGTATTCAGAATGTAGTCAAACAGCCCGAGTTGACAATGGTTTTTTAGACATTTCTAATTGTATAGTTTGGAAGCGTCAAAAAAGTTTTGCTTTGTAAACACGTAATAAGTTATTGAATACTTCACTACATCTGATACTCATTAGTAAATTATTTTCTGCCTATAAAGGGATTCCCGATTATTCATTTTGCACGTCACATTGTAAGAAGGATAGTGCCAAGTGGCGCACAGCCATTGCATGGTACTGGCGACAGATCGTATATCGTGACAAAATCTTCCACCCACCTGAGTCGGATGACTAGTGCTAGGCTTGCCTGGGAGAGCAAAAAGTTGGTTGGCCTCCACAAATTATTGTTTATGCCACATACATATTTCAACACCACTACAATTCTGTATAGAATTCGAATGTGAGGATGATTGACGATTACCGTATAGTCAGTTTGAAAAATGATTGATTACCGTATAGTCAGTTTGAAAAAAAGATATCGACCGTTCAGAACGCTGTTAGACCGCCACGCACACAGTTCTCGAACACCAATTTATTTGCACACTAAACAGAATAATTAGCGAGCCCAAATCGTAATCATAGATCACCCAGCGCTTCGTAGGTCGCTGCAATGATCTTGATTCGGCCCACATGCCTCCCCTCTCCGAAGCTGCTGTCCCAGCAGCTGGGGCTCCATCCTTTTAAGTTCTGGAAAAGGTACCGAATTGGAATGTCCTTCTTTAAACCGTCTCGTACACTATTTTTGCACATCCCACTGTGCAGTCGGTTCCGTACAATGATAAACACGATTCTGGTACTCCCAGCTCACAGAATATTTTTTCTTCTTCTATTTTCGAGTTCGCCGTTCGGAAAAACTGTCCAGAACCCGCTCTTTTTTTTAGAGTCGCATCCAATAGTTTCCAGATATCGATCATCTTTTTCCACACCTCAGAATTCTTCGCAACAACCAGGGGCCGTGCCGAAACTATACGGCTACCATTCTCAAAATGCCTTTCGCAAGCCTTTACCACCCGTAACTTCGTCCTCTTTGAATTTTTGTTTCAAAAGCCAAACGATAACCCATACGGCGTGTGCCGACCATTCATTGAGAATCTCCCTGAACTACAAAAAAGTTGGGGCTACCCGTGTGGAGATTCACCGCTTCGGACCATCTTTTTCTAAGAGTGCTGCAGATGCCGGTGCTGCGAAAGCAGCAGATCTTTTTGCCCTATCCTCGTCTTCGATTTCTTTTTTCAATTTTTTCAATGCGGCATCGTAAGTCTTCTCAAACCCAATTTTTTCGTGGCCTTTTATTTGTTGGCCATAGAATGCTTCCCCATCACTACTTCCCTCGTGACGTATTGAAACCAATGCTTTACTATATGGGGGTATGTGGGTGAGTCAATTTGTGTCCAATTGTAATCACTTCGCGCCTTGCTCGCCCATCCTTCGCACCTTTCTCGCCCAGCCGCTGACCTCCCTTAATTGGATGGCTGGTGACCTCTCTGCCAGACAACTAGCCTCACGTCTAACAATATCGAGGGTGTGCGAATAAATTTTCCATCGCACCTAATCAAGCTCGCCTCGCACCTAGGCGCGAAGTGACCATAATTAGGTGCGAAGACTCAGTAATCACGCTGCCCGTACTCGCTACTAATCGAGTTGGAACATGTCATTTGAAGAGGATAATGACAGTTCAAAAAAATGGAGGTTCTATTAAAAAATATTCTTTTTTCAAAGAAAAAGTTCAAATATCAATTTCACGGTTTTGAAAGTTTAACTTACATGCATAATGAATAAGTTCAATAGATTTCATTTCAAGCTCTTGGAAAGTAGGTAAAACAGTATAGTTCATCTCTTTTTTCGGTATTTTCGCTTATTTGTGATATCAAACAACCTTTACAGAAGCGATCTAGTTCTCTAGAGTTGTTTAATATTGGGACTACTCTTCATTGATAGGTCATTGAACGCCCTACGGCTCACCAAAGGGAGCCGGAACTTTGCAACGGAATTACCAGCAGAGGAAAGAAAAGATCTACGAGGAAATGGAAAGGCGTGATATTTCGGAAGTTTTCTCCTATTTCGACCTTATGTAATATTTTACATTTTCCTAGGTTTGATAAACTCCAACAGCAAGGAGCAAGCATTCACGAAATACAAGAATTTTGTACAAAGATGTCCAGATTCGAAACAAACAAAACTATCTGAGTTTTTTTTACTTGTAAATACTTATTACCATTGAATTGAACCGTTTTCCCCATATCACACAAACTTTATTCACAAAATATATTGAATTCATTTATTATGCGTGTAAATAGAACTCTCAAAACCTTGAAATTGATATTGGAATTTTTCTTTTAAAAAAAGAACATTTTTTGATAGAATCTACATTGTTTAAAACCGTCATTTTCCTCTTTAGTTGACAAATTTTAACTCGATTAGTAGCGAGTGCGGGAAGCATGATTACCTCGGAGTCTTCGCACCTAATCAAGGTCACTTCGCACCTAGGTGCGAGGCGAGCTTGATTAGGTGCGATCGAAAATTTATTCCCGTACCCCAATATCGATTGTGTGAGTGAGAATCTACGATACATTTAAAGCATGATAAATAAAATAAAGCAAAACAAAAAATATGAAACGCATAAATTATAAAACAAAAGAAGGTGTGGAGGCTAAAATAAATATCGGAAATATCATAAAAAGGGGGAAAAGAATTCATCGTATTGTATAAGGATTCAGCATTCATTCTCACAAGACGCCTGTAGGCAAACTAGTCAACGGGTGACCTTTCACGCTTTTTTTAACACCCTGTATCGCTTTGTTTGGACACCGCCGGTAGGTCACTCAAAGGTATTTAAACATGTAGATGAAAGCATCAAATCACCTTGTCTCTGTACTCTGTAAACCAAAACCTTACGTTTTCCGAGACCCTAGAGGCAGCTACGGCTACTACAAATGGACACATCCAAGAGCCAACATATGTTGGCGAAAGGCAGGTAAGCAAAATGGGGAAGCATGACGTACTAATATACCGGATTCCAGGTACAACACGTTCTCTTACGTTCTACAGAAAGTATATAGGCAAAAACAGGGACAGCTTCGTGTGCGTTCACTGCGTGGCGGAGCAAAAAAGAGTTTGTGATTTAGGATCAGCACCACGTATCAAAGTGGGTGAAGAGACTCAAAGAAAACGCTTGCATCCTTTCATAACTAAAATTTAAGGTTATCGGTAACGTATTTTTGACTGATCCCTGCAGCATACATCACGTATGCACTCCCGGCAAGAACACCGAAGAAAGAGGAAACCGGCATGTATACAAGGTATTTTCATATTCACCACTGACCCCAATGCTGTATTCGAATTTTTAGGTGGCGCAGGACATAAGGAAGGATTCGCCACACCCAGGGAAGAAACCCGCACAGGTCTATCTTGATATGGTAGCGGCACCCCTTGAAGCTGACAACGGTGAAATCTTTGAGCATTTTTTGGTTTGCTGAATCAAATCAAATTTTCTAATCCGACCTTGCTTCAGAAGGAGAGGAAGACTTCATAAGGGCNCACATCTACTTCTCAGTTGCAACCATTAAGGTTTGATGACTTATTACATGAGTATCTCATAAGGCGGTAATTGGATTAACATCAAATTCAGAAGGCATGCGAAGCAGGATTGCACAGCGTTGTTGCAGACGGGATGCACTCACTGCATCCTAAGACGCTCGGATATCAGGCGCAGCTCTACTGCGTGGACTGCGTCTGCTCTCAGGAAGTGGAGGTACCACTGCTTTATTGCATCACTGCGAAGAAAACCGTCGTACCTACGTGAAGATGTTGAAATGTTTTGGAATGTTGAAAGAATGTTGAAAGAAAAAATCACTGGAGATGCACCTGAGCGAGTGATGCTAGACTTTGAAAAAGCAGCTATAACAGCTGCTCGCAAGTCTGTGGAAGGCTGTGCATTTCATCTTGCACAGGCTTCAAAAAGAGATTCTTTGGGGCTGAGACGATACATCCAAGGACTGGAAAGGGAGGAGCCACTCACAGAGTGGTCGGAAATAGTGGAAGATACGTTAATAAAGAAATTTTTCGTTTGACCGGCTTGAACAATTAGCTTTCCTTGCTTTTTCAGGGGTGATATTTCTTCCCCGACCACTGCTGCAACGGGTAAGGGCTCTCCAAACTCCCCCCGTTCCCATGGACCACGGCGCTTATAGAAAATGCGAAGATTTCCTGCGCTACTTCCAAGAGACATGGTTGCGAGGTTTCTTCAAAGATATGTGGTGCAAATGGGGGCTTGTGGAAATGCGGACCACAAATTTAGCAGAAACATTCCACAGGTGATCAATAACCACAGGGCTTTTCAAGTGTATGATGTGTAAGTTTTTCAGACGGCTCACAGTCCTCATAGACGTGGGCCATCCGCCCTTGAGCGTGCTCATTGAAGCTCTCCGGAAGCTCAACTACGAGGCGAGAGCAGCATTAACACGTCTACAGGAGGTGACATTTTTATTGTTATCATGTTTATGTTCATGCTGAATCGTTCTCATTTGTATCTAATGCAGGACCCGAACAACGCCAAGGATATCCGAAAAAGAGATCAGGAAAGAAGAGAAAAGATAGCAGAAGAAACAATTCTGTAGGTGCTTCTGTACAGCACACAGCATACATGCATTGCTCTTTATTGCTTTTGCAGGTTTGAAGAGATATACCGGAATGGACCAAGTGACCAGGAAATAGAACAATTCTGTAGGAAGATGTCTAGATACGTCACCGATAAGTCTACATAGTTTCAATATTATATGAAGATTTTGAATTCTTACATTGTCGTGTCCTTACCGCATATTATTTTAAAATGTATAATGATAATACTATTATTATTAACAATATTAATAATAAAGTGTTCAATTCATAAAATCAATATCAGTACGCTGAGACTGCCCGAGAGGTCACTAGCCAACCAATTAAGGGAGGTCATCCCTCAGGCGAGTGAGGGGCTGGGCGAGGAAGGTGCGAAGTAATTACAATTGGACACAAATACTGACTCCCGGGGGTATGTACATTCGCCTAGCAACCACGACCCTTTCCTGAGCCTCTGCCTGCAACGTTGGTTCTTGAGGTGGCAGCACCACCTGGACGCCCAGCTTTCCCAACGCATTTGTGCCAAGGAGTATCTCAGCCTCCTTGTCATCTGCAATGTGGAAGGCTACGTCCACCTTGTTGCCTTCCTCCATGACTACCGCTATTTTAGCAACACTCGAGAAGGCCATGCGGTTCGGTGAAGCATCAAACACTGGAATTATTGAGCCTAAGACAGCACCTCCAGGCTATCCACGTCTCCTTTTGTGCCTTCGCCAATATGCCTATTGTTATGTTGCTGATCATTGAGCCCGTATCTACTACAGCTGGCTTTCTTAGATCCAATACCTTAGCCTCAACTGTCATCGAACTTCCCACTAGGCGTCTCTTCCTTGCTCCATGAACCACACTTCACCCCTAGGCTTCGTGCCCCAATAATAATCGGTGATATCCGACGTCGCTGCGTCGTTTCCTCCCTTGAAGATACTTTCTGTGGCAACGTGTTCTGCTTCGAAGCTTTCTCCGAAATTTGATTGACCTGGGCTCTCTTCAGTGGGCAATCCCGACCAATATGCCCGATCTTTTGACAGTTGTAACACCTCCTCTCACCATGTCCATTGCTATATCTTCCATGTTCTCTTTCAGGCCTACCGTCCATGTCGGCCCCTCCTGTTCTTAAAACCTTCGCTAGGTATGGGATGTCGTGCCCCCCTTCGGTTATTGCCTTCTCTGAAACCACTTCCTGGCTTTGCATCGCCACTTCCAGCATCTCTAGACCCCCTTACTTTAGACCCCGCTTCCTTTCTTCCTGCTGGTATGCCGCCGACCGCCTATCCCATCCGTCTTTACGAGTACTCCAGTCAGGGCCATCATACATCTTAACTGTTCAATAGCTCAAGCTAGTTCTTTGACTGCATCATACACGTCTGTGGGGTCTACCCGGTGCAACGGGCTCAATAGGTGAATTGTTCCGGCCATTCAGTTAAATTGTCCAGCAGTAATGTGCGTAGTTGAGAGGCCTGTTTTTCATGCTAAAAGCAGAGTTTCCCTGCCTCCCAAGTTCCTCAAGAACCACACAAACATCCGCGACGGATTGGCTCCACCTTCGCTTAAAACTTCTCAAATCGGTCAGTGCCCTCAATGGGCCCGCCGTTGAATCATTTGCCAGCAACCTTCTCAACCCTCTAGAGTCTGTATCAAAGCCCTGTTCTCTCACGCTACGAGGTTATGATAGGAACACCATCTTGGCTCTACCTTCCAGATGATCGTCAACCATAATGTCTAGTGATGTCTTTTCATCAAAAATCACAATTCTAAATCGTCGAATGAATTCTTCAAAATTCTCATGACTATTCCCTTTGAATACCACTGGGCTTACACAAGCACTGGCTTGAATCAGTGCCATAACATTCAAAAAGTTCTGACCTGACGTTCCGATTGCTTCTTCCGATGGTTCTGAACGCTGCCTCCAACCTTGTCCGCAGGGTGCTCCAGTCTGCGATATCTGTCTTCTCGATGGGCCCTGAACACTTTCATTCTTCGATGATGTGTGACCCTCCTATTACCGTATCTCTTGACTCACCACTGTCCTCAATTTCCATTTTTTCTTCCTCGTTTCCGGGCTCAAGCCGTCTTCTTTGTCCATTTCTGGGCAGCTCGCTAAGCACACCTCGGATATGTGAAACATCAGACTGAAACGTATAACATATTTCTGCAAAAAGCTCCCCGTCTCGTTTTCTCACCTTTGCGTATTCATTTCAATCATCCATGCTTCTTATCCCTTTCTCTTGAAGCTCTCTAAACAGCTCACTACCAAACAGCTTATACCCTCTCGCCATTGCTTTTACATCTTCCAACATGCTACACGATTGCTCTGCTTGTATGTCCCACACTCTCATCAACTGAGTCCGGTACTTCTCCGCGATTCGGGCCTCCGTCAAATCTTACTCGATACTTACCGGTCCCTGTCTTATTTCCTCTATCACTTTATCCAACACCAGTTGGGCTACGCACGCGAATGCGTGCACCACATGCCCACTCCCGCTTACCTAAGGCTTGTTAGAGGACCAATACGAACAGTATCGCTTGATTTCCCATTTCATAACTTCGTTGTACCTGCGAAACTTTCGAAAGGACGCAAAAAAGGGCATACAAACAGACGCACAACGCTACCTCATTATATATAGAGACAGTCGGACCGCCCGGCTAATGCCGGGCTCTCCTCCTTCTTTAAGTCCCAGTGATCGGCAGCCCCCCCCCCAATTTTTGGAACGAATTATGCTTTTCTGAACACGAAATTCGGCACACTCTACACAACTTTGACACAGGACCCAATAAGAGCTGGCATAAGCATGGCAGCGTCAGTGGTATTTAGGGTGCGTCGATGCTTACGTCTACGACTGAAAGTGTGAATCGGTTGCTCTTCATCTTAAAAATTATGAACCATTAAAGGTTTAACTGATAGGCAACGAAAGAATTGAGTAGTACTTACAAACGCTCTCAAGTGATAATGAAACCATCATCAGATGTCGTCATCACTGGACCTTCCCTCCTCCACGGGTACATCATTAATTGAGAATCCCGAATTATTGGCGGTCGGATGAGCTTTGTCGTAAATGATATCAAACATCAAGTAACCTTGATTTTCCACCGAGTTACAAACCTTGCTGGGTAGCGGTCGTAATCTATATAATAGTCGTAATCATAAATACATCATAGATACCACAGGAGCTGAATTCAGTTGGTAAGTGGTCTTAAAAGTCATCGCTATCAGCTGTTATCAGTCCCTATCATCGGTCTTCTACGATCCCGCCGTACTCCAAATCACATGCCAAACTGTCAAGGCTCCCCTCTTAATGCCATTATCATAGTGGCTCTACGCTTCTGAGGATTTTCATTAGCCCTTATCAGTTTTATCAGCTCCTGGCCTGGCACCAACCGTTCTCGTTCCCGTCACCGAGTACCTACGAATCACCTATTGAAATACCATGACTCCATTATTAACAGGAAGCGCGTCACAGACCTACAGGCTCTCGCCTTCTATGGTTTCTTATCAGTCCTTATCACTTGCGATCATTCCCTGTCACCAACCATTAACGGTCCCATCACATCTTATATCACCTGCCAAAGTGCCAAGGCTTCATCGCTGATACGAAGGGAGTTACGGACCTTGTGGTTTTTACCTTTTAAGGCTCCTTATCTGTTGCTATCGATTGTTATCACTTCCAATCGCTTACCATAGCTATTCCCATCGTACCGCCTATCTCTCTTTCGAATTTGAATGCTTTAGCTACAGTGGGACGGGAGTTATGAATTTCCGGTCGGACAAACACACACACACACACACACACACACACAAACACACCAACAGACACACTTAGCCGATTATATAAGTAGGATCTTACTTATACTCTCTACTGCAAATTCTTGTTCACCATTAACCTGCATCGAGTTGACTCCCGCGTCCGCGGCCTGGTTCGCGTTGTTTTCCGACGCCATTGCTGAACACGTTAACTTAGACCGATCGGTATGTCGACGATATTCACGAGACCGAGCGGGCTTACTCTGCGTCCCTTCGTGTAACCTGCACGTTTTGCTAAAACTCGCTTCTGATCCCACTCGATCACCGATCCTCCCCGTGAATTCCTCACCACTCTAGGACGGCTTACTTTGCGTCCTTTTCCATGTGCTCCCCTCGAGCCCTGCCTTTGATCCCAGTCGATACCTTTGGTGAACTTTCCGCTACACTAGGGCGGCTTACTTTGCGCCCTTTCTGCAACCGGTAGGCCACACTCGAACCTTGCCCTTGATCTCAATCGATGATCGATAGCTCCAGTGATGGGCGCCTTTTCACTGTTTTCGGCCTGCCTCACCAACCCTTGAAATCCAGAGTAGCCTCGTTACCTGCCACCCTGATCTCACACTTCCTGCATGCGCTGTTTGCCTGACCCTGTCTAGTCGATACCCTCGAACGGTTCGCCTCTCATGTACCGTATAGTCATTTCAAATGAAAGATATCGACCGTCCAAAACAGTGCTAGATCACCACGCACACAGTTCTCGAACAGCAATTTATTTGCACAGTAAACAGAATAATTACGCGAGACAAATCGGAATTATCGAGACAAATAAAACAAGAAAGAAACATCTAGTAGGAGGGGGGGGGGTATGAAGGAGTCCGAGCGAGGACGTTCTATCCTCGACAAGGCCGTCGTCGTCCTTAAGTACCTTTCTAATTCCCGCCTAAATCACCCCGGCGCTTCGTAGGTAGCTGCAATGATCTTGATTCGACCCACGTGATCACATTCTTTTTCCTGCACAACATCGTGCGCATGATAGCAACAATAGGGATAGAAACCGTAGATTCCAAATAATTGCAAGATTAACGATCAACATTCATTCAAGTAATGGCGGAGAGAGGTCTCTAATTTACGTAAAGAAAAACCTGAGTCTGTTCCCTATTTTGACAAAGCATGCCCATTACTGCAGCATGAAATGCTAATGACCAGGAAAATCTCGCTTGAGAGTGCAACACAAGAACGCAGGTTGAGGAATCCTTTTTGACAGGGGTGCGGGTCTTGCGCTTGCCCCAGTGATGCTTACGATACAAATAATCTCAACTTTAGTGTATCAAGTGTATATATAAAGCAATTACCTGTATCATGTCTTTCAATTTATCGTCGACCTTCTCGAGTGGGCGCCGGTAAGATTTCATTCCTTCGTTTTTGGTTTTACAACAAATTGATAAAAATTGTGCGGAGCCGGAGAAATTAAGTGGGCCGCCTTCGAATGACCGAGGCACAGCATTTCTTCCATTCCGATGTTTCGTGAAGAAATCTGGCTATCGCGCTGATTGTTGTCTTTGTCACTGTTTGACATTTCGAGCGATATAACCATCTTGCTTCATCCCGAAATCGTGTAACGTTTCTGGCCTATCTAATCTTCTATTTCTTGGCATAAACAACGGCCTCCCTAATCTTCGTTCACTGCCGGATCTCAGAACCCCATATATTTCTTCATGTTTTTGCGTGTATTAGGAAATTCCCAGCATTGTCCTTTCCAAAACACGTTGAGCGACGCTGACTGCGTGCTCATCCTGCTTTCGTAGAGTGCAAGTTTTCTAGGCGTCGTCGCAGCAGGAAGGACAGCAGGGTTGGAATGATGAGTGCTGAACTACATAATCTTTATCGTCTTCACTACAATCTCGATATCTCAAATGCTTCCCACGCCGCACATTTCCTTCTGCTCAGCTCCGGTGCTCGGTCGTCCATAATATTGACTTCTCGGCTTAGATACATGTAGCTAAAACATTCAGAGATTCGTTTTAAAGAAGCATCAGGTACCATTGCTCGCAAACATCATCTTCGTTAGATTCAAACCTAAGCGTTCTTTCACAAGCGTTGCCGGTTCGCCTGCACTATGTTCATTGTTATAAGCACCATGTCATGTACAAAGCGGAGATTATGTGAGTAGCGGCCAACGACCTTCACACTCATTTCTTTCAATTTCATAAGACGCCTGATGTTGTTGAGAGCGGCACAGGTTATGTTTGGCAGGATGAAATCGCCCTTTCAAACCCCACTCTTCACGTTGATGATGACATCTTCACAAAATGGCGAGGTCCTGGTTGTAAAGTTGTCGTAGAGCTCAAGAAGCATCCTTTTATATTGAGTAGGAACACCCTGGTTGCCCAGGGCTTCGATTACCGCCTCTGCCTCAACGGTATATAAGCTTTCTCCATAATGATGAATGATGAAAAGTAAGGCATAAC